ACCCTAAAACTAACCTAAACTCAATTCACACCTTGGTCCTAAACCCAACCCAAAATGGAGTTCCATCATATTAGAACCGGTCTTTGGTCCCCATTAGGACTACTGGTCTTGACAAGGTGGGTGTGTATACCAGAAACAGTCCTAAATAGCTAACAAAAACAAGTACACACACGCAAACACACACATTGTGTTTTTCTATCTTCACAGGGACTTTCCATTCATTTCTAAAGCCTAATCCTGACCCTAACCTTAGTCCCAAACTTAACACCTTAACCTAAAAACAGCCTTAAAACTTATGAGATCTGGGTTTTGGGCCCATAAGGAGCACTGGGTCCTCACAAGGTTAGATATTTTGGGGAAAATGGGCCTTACAGGGTAATGAATGTTAGAACACACACACATAGAAGAAATAGAAAAACCAGAAGGCACACATCTGCAGAATGCTACGCATCAAACTGAAGGCCCACGGCCCAAACACGGTCCTCCTTACTTGTATCTGGGTTGCCAGATATTTTAAATTTTATTAAAGTGAATTAAAATGAAGTTTGTTTTAGTAATCTTTGATTTGATGAGAAGAGAATGATCAAAAGTTTTGATTTTTTTTTCTTATTTTGGATTTTTAATCAGATTTTTGCTGATGGATTGTGAAAAAACATCACTAGGACATAAAAGAAAAACCCTCAATAGGAGAGAAGATGTTTTTTTTAATCATAAACAGTGATAAAAACAGGTGACACTGAGCTGACAGTAAACTTAGGTTTATTGAAGCAAAATAAAACCATCAGCCTGGCCATTTCTAATCATCCAACAATCCCACAGATACTTCCTTACAGGCGCTCTTCAGCTTTGAGAGTGAATCATCAGAATGTGTGACATTTTCCTGCATCGACGCTCACACAACAGAATGTTCTTGGGTCGAACGACACAAACAACCTCCCTATTCAGAACTTTGACTCTCATTTTTCATTTATGAAACAAACAAAAAAAAAATCTAACGCTTGTTTTTCTGGCCTGAACACTATAAAATAACATTTATAAGTTTAAAATTAACTGTCAATTAAAGCAATAATTACTTAAACTGTGGTTTTCTTACATGAAAAGTAAGTAATTTTGCTCCAAGTTGACACCTGAACCAGATTTCTTGTACGTTTGTATTTTATTATGAGAGGAAAGTTAAAGATTTGCTTCTTGTCTCGTTTTCAGAACATCGTTATCAGTTCCTGGTGCGGCAGCAAGTCTGAGGTCGAACATTTGCTTCAAACCCGTCAGGACTAATTTTCTGCTGTTTTACGTAACGAACATGATAACAGGAGGAGAAAAGAAAATAATCTAATGAGTCGATTTTTAACTTCTTTAGTGACTGATAATCCCAGCTGAAAATGCAAAAGGACTAAAAACACTGAGGGTTTCTAAAACAATCAGTTGCAGGTGATTAAAAATCTAATCTGAAATGTCAGCATTGGATTAAAAAACATCTTTGACTGAAACAAACAAAAATATATTTTTTGTTTCTACATTTCAGACATCCTTTTAAACTTTTTTGTCAATTGTCATCTTATAATTATTTTACAGAGGCAAAAAAACGTCAAAGCAGGAGTGCATATTGTGCAAAAGTCTTGATACACGCCTTACTGCTTCAAAGATTGCTCATAAAGAAGAATCACTTTTATTTTAAGTTTCATTCTGAGCAACACCGTAGTTTCAATTTTCTGAAGGTCCAATATGTTTTACAGAAACTTGTAAGCTTTTTAACACAGATCTATGAATTATTAAAGACTAAAAAACAAAGAATGAATCAGTGTTCTGACAAACACCAACCTTTAGAAGGAGCAAAAAACTATGGCTCAAGACCACTAAAAGATTCCAGTAAACGCCTCCTTTGAAGCAATCTGTAAAGAAATGAGGGAATTGTTTAAGACTTTTGCACAGCACTGTAATAAAACTCTTATCCTGGCGGCCAAGACATCTGTCGTCCTCCCAGGACGTGGACGTGAAGGTGGTAGACGCTCTGAGATCCGTCTTCCCCATCGTTGATCACTGAGAAATCGAGGCGCAGATTAATAAATGGTTTGCATTTCCACATTTAATAACGTCAATCAAACTACTTACCAACTCTGTAACCGCCAGAGAGGGATTCCTGCTTCGCCACATTTTTAGCAACAATCAACAGATGACCTAAAAGCTGAGAGTTTAAAAGAAAGGTAATCTATCAGCAAAACGTCCATATGATCGGTGCAACAAATGAGAACTTTTAAAACACAAAGATTGATTTAGTTTTGTTTCGGCACTCGTTTAAAACACTGGACGTAAATCCTTGATTGAGGTGTTTTAAACGGCATCTTGTCCACCACGCGTGGATAAATCCACTCAGTCGCATTGAGAGCAACATACCGGAGCGTCATTATCTTTGGCTGCACTTAGTCGAGGAATTGGGACCCTTGGAATAACCAAGAAGTGAACAGGGGCCTGCGGGTTGATATCTCTGAACGCCAAACACTAGTAAGGACACACACACACACACACACACACACACACACAC